TAGAATCTAGAAACATGGGGGACTTTTTGGTACTTTTTCGTTCTTCGACTGGTACTTTTTGAGTTTTCTATAATATGGAAACTAGAAACAAATTTAAACATTTGGAGCCCTGAGTGAATGGAGATCTGTAGGAATTAATTTTTTGGCACTTTTGCATTCTCCAAAAGGTACTTTTTCACGAGTGCATGAGAATCTCTTAAGAGTGATTTTTAGTACTTTTTGGTTATTTATCTGGTAAAAAGTATCAGTGTTTTGTAATATTGGACCATGAAATTGAATTGAACCATGAAGAAATGTAACATGAAACATTCAGGGTCCTGAGTAATTTAAATCTGTAGAATGGATTAAGTTTACTTTTTAAGTTTACTTGAACCTAGAACCAAGAAATTAAATATAATAAAATAAAATAAATAAAAAGTGACTTTCTGGTATTTATTGTTCTAGCTGGTACTTTTTCAATTTTCTGTAATATTATGACTAGAATCATAAATAAAATTTATAAGGTCCTAATTGCCTGAATATATATAAAAGTGATATAAAGTGAGATATACGTAGATATTCATATGAAATCAAACAGTTGAAATATCATATGAAATTCAGCTGTATGTGTAGAAAACAAACAATATAAATTTGTAAAATTTAGTCAATATATACATATATTAATCATTTCTTCTACATAGAATTAAGAACCAAAATTTAAAAATATACATTCGATTAGATTGAAGGGGCACAAAGCACAGCGACCTATGTGGCGTATCCTCGGGGAATGCCAAAGAAGGGCTCAAGGCCGATTAGTTGGCGACGAGCGCATCTATTTCCTAGGCAGTCTGCCCTTTCATTGACAGAATGACCCTCATGGCCAGGTACCCAGCACAAAGTTAGTTTGTTGTGTTTATCTAACTCATTGAGTGAAGTTAAGCAGTCCATTACAACACCCGACCTTACCTCGTATGACAATAAGGCCTTCAGTGATTCTTGGATATCCAACATTATAAAAATTATTAACCCTTGGTTCTTCTCCTAACGCGCTCCCTAGCTCAAATAAAGATGGCATATATTCTGCTTGAAAGATTGAATGATAGTATCCAAGGGGCTCCCGTTTCGCCGTTTATTTGTTTGTGATCCAAACTTGTTCAGCTTTTTTTTGACACCAAGTTTGATCAGTTCATAAGTCCCTATTCGGTATAATAACCTCTAATGATCTATCGAAAACCATAGTTGGTGACCCACAGTTGGGAATTCTAATGTGTGGGTAATTTATAAAATGAGAAATTTTAAGTGCATATTTTGTATATTTTTAGAGCATATTGTATTTTTCAGTCATATAAAATTTATGTTAAATATAACACTAGAGTATGTTGTGTAACAGAGTTACATTTTATAACATACTCTAAGGCATTTTTAAAATGTAGTATATGTTTAAGAAAATGAATAAATTTAAAATTTTTAATTTGATATTTTATACAATCAGTTTATGGTTGAGGGTATTTAAAGATTTCGTGTTAATAGTAGTTTAGTAGTGAACTATTTGGAAAAAGTTTAAAAATACAATTTCCACAGTTTAATAAATACTAAAATGTTAAATAATGTAAAATTTTCCTTAAATTTAAGAAATAAAAAGCATTTTGTTGTATGCAGTTGAAATAAGTGCAAAATTTTGAAAACATTTATTTGTCACATAAAAAACACAAATTTAACTTTTATACGTAATGTGTACGACATGTTATCTAAAAAATATTAAAAGACTTTTTGTGCCGAAAAACGTTTCATTCTCACAGAAAATCATTATATAAGTCAGTAACCTGTTTTAAAATTTGTTCTTTTTTATTTTCACTCACCCAATTTTTTACAAACGAGATTATTTAAGAGCAAACAATTATAAAGAATACATATTTTATAATCTGGCATCATTTGTTTAAATACAAACACAGCCTTAGAGTTTGTGTTATTTTTACACAAAAATGGTTTGTTTGTCATTTCCTGTTTCATTTTTTAATTCTTCTTAAAAAATGTACACAAGTTTATAAATACATACTATGTAAAATTGTAGGATTTTGTACTAATATATGTATGTATAAAAACGTGTGTATGTATATAGAAGTGTATGATTATACACAACTGTTTACACTTACCCCCACACAAACGTATACAAAACATTATATTTCAAAAGAAATCACGTTTTTCATCATAAAAAGAAATGGTAGTAAATAAATAAGTATTACAAACATACATACATTTGTATGTATGTACATATGTAGTAAAAAAATAATCATCTATGTTTTACTATGTAGTAGTAGAGTCGATATATTAATATTTTGTATGTGTTTCTATTTATATATTTAAACAAGAATAAACCAAAAAAATATGAGCTTTTAAAAAGGTTTAATAATTTCAAAACATCTTCTTAAATATTTACATTTTTATGTCTAATAAACTTAAATATAGAATTAAACAGTTTCGGAAATATAACACCTATTTCTAGAGTTTGATTCATATTATATGAAGCTCCGCAAAAATTTTCATTACAAATACTTAACAATTACTTACAATTCAATTAATTTAAAAATTCTTAAAACACTGCATTAAAACATTTACAGAAAAATAAATAAAATGATTTAAAATATTAAACAAAAAGTGAATTTTTGGGAACTTCATGCCGAATGAGTGATTTGGAATGTAAACAATAACATTTAGGAGAATTACTTATGCGTATGAGTGATATGAAATGATACACTTTGGAGAATTTAGAAAAGAAAGGGAAACAAATTTGTAATTTTTAAAGTTTCCATTTCTAGGGAAAAAATGTTTTTAGACCTAATCAACCTATGTTAGAAGTCCAAAAATGTAGTACGTCGGGCTTGTTAAAAATTTTAAACTATCTTAATTTTTGCTTATGAATCAATTTCACGCTATAAAAATTTTACTTTAAAATATAATAAAATATAATAAAATGGGATAGAGTTGAAGTTATCCGATAGTGGGATATCTGGGAGTTATCATGGATTCAAAACCCATCTCATCACTCAAACTAGAGTGTCAAAAGCGCCTGGGGCCTTATTCTGGTAAAGAAGAGCAATAGGTATATCTTGGGGCATAAACTCCAGGAATTCGAAATGGCTCTTTGGCATTGTAGTTAAGCCTATATTATATGGTGCACTTGTCTTATGGTAATATTTATGGCTCAGGTTTTACCAAATACATGGTGTTAATATACGAATATATATCTACAGCCAGGCAATCCGAATGGCTCTGAGTGGTGTTTATACTAAATCAATCATAATTAAACGATATGTTGAAACATTCCACAATAGGACTGTATTGAATTCCAAGTCATCGCGGACTCTCTTGCCAAGGTGGGCTTCTCACTAGCAGGAGAGTAGCTGACCAATTTGTCGGTATACCGCTCTCAACCTGCAAACGCTTTATGCGAGGAAAACTATATGAGCTTGCGCAACACAGATGGTCGACTAAGGCCAACTGTCGACAGGCGAGGATCATGTGGCCATCAAATAATCTACAACGATCACAAGCCTTGCTTCACGTTCCGAGAGCAAATCTACGGAATTTTACTGCCCTTTGGGGTAAACTTACCCAGTAATGACTTCTGCAGGATCTGCCAGGACTTCCTTTGCCATTGCCCAGCCCTAGCGGGAGAGGTAGCAACTTATTGCATGACTTAATGGATCTATCAGAGGTTGACTGGATCGGATAGGAAACCCAGAGTGTGTTAATACGCTGATCATTTTTCTCGTTTCAGGTAACACAAAGGGATAAATATACTGAACCCTAACCTAAAGTCAACATATTAGACTTTCATTACTTTTAAAATATGGCCAAAAAGATTTTTTTAATATTCTCGAAAACCTAATGTGGTGGGTTAAAAGTATGTCGGCATGCGATATTTTTAAGATGGTGTGTTTTTTCTCTAAAGCTTCCCCAGCAAAAACTATTGGTTAATGAAAGAGTTCCAAAACCTTTCCAAATGAAGTTTGAGCCCGCTTTCTTGAAAGAGCTCATAGTGCAAAAAAAATAAATTTTAGTTTATTGTTTTACGTTATTTAAAATAATTATAAAATAGGTATTTGTAAAGTATTTTTCTGTGATCAGTCACAACAATTGCCCAATTCACAATCAGCGTCGTAGCGTGTATGTCGTATGTGTATTATTTAGAGGCAAATAACACCTAATACCCCGGAGAACGCCGGGTACAAAAATCTAGCAATTGTATAAAATTCTTAAATTTTTAACAAACGTTAAAATATCTTAACCATACAAGGCACAGGAAATAAAAAGACAATTGCATATATCCGGTAACCATGTAAATTACAAGTTGTCGAAATGAATTGCATAGTTTTAGGAGAAATTTTTGATTTAAATGTTCTAAGAATGTATGTAAATAATAATGTTAGTTATTTTATATCTTTAATAAATATAATTGCAAGTATGTGTTTACCTACATATGTATGTATACATTATATAGTATATGTACATTTATGTATGTATATTAATATTTCCTTTAAAAGCTAAAATTTAATTTCCTAACCACTAGATGACTTCCGCAACGTTGACAGTCCAATGCAATGTAAATAATTTTTATGGTTTTATGAGCCTCAATGCAAATGAAAAAAGTGTCGATGAGAACGAACGATAATGTGTTGGTTGTCATTTTATATACATACATACATACATAAATACATATTTAGTACAAATATGTAAGAAGTATTTTATTTGTTCGTTGTATATTGTAAATAATTAAAAAGGAAACTGATTTTTTTATTTGAATAAGGATATTTTGAAAGTTTTGTATGGGTTTTTCATGTGTATGTATTTTTGTAGATGTAGATATAACAAACTTCGTGTGGTTAGACATTTGTTGGGAATTAAATATTTTCATGGTACATTTTTTTGGTACCATGTGTTTTTATGAGTTTTTTTATTTTAACATCATGTGTATTTGATTGTGGTTTTTGTATCTATCAAAAAAATTACACTTGACCCACCTTTTTAATATTCTGCTTCTACTTCTTTGGCGTGTTCTTTTTTCTTATATTTCCTTTTGTCGCTCTTTCTTTTGTTATTCCTTTGTGATTCTTTTCCTTTAACGAAATGAAAAAGAGTTTATTTTTCCTTGATTTTTTATTGTTGTTGTTGTTCTCTAGAAAACTGGAGCACGTTTTTCACGAATATCTGCTTTATTTATTATTTTTTCTTTTAATTTTCTTTTCTTTTTTTAAAGTCTCTTTTTTTCTGTAGTATAGCAGCAAAAATAAATTGTTAGGATTTTGCTAAGAAAATTATGTTTTTTAAGTGTCGTTGTTTTTATTGTTGTTGTTTAGTTGATTGGGCTTTTGTTGTGTTTAGTTTAATCTGTTTTAGAATGAATTTGAAAATGCATATAAAACACACGTGTGTAATATTTAATGGCACCTTTGCAAAAAGAACACACTGTCACACACACACACATACATACACACGTACATGTACAATTTACATACAAACACATTTGTTCATTGTTATGTATACTCATCAAGTAGACAGCATGAAGAGATAGAAAAATGCCCTCAAAACAAACAACAATACAAAAGACAAAATACCAAACAGAAGAGAAAGAGAAGAGAAATAAGATGATAAAGGAGATAAAAAATGGTTCTGTATGGGTATTTATAGAGCTTCTAATGTACTATATGACGCTCTATAAAAGTTTTTTTGCATTGTTTATTGTTGTAGCACACATCTTCATCGCCGTAAACGTCTACAACGTCGTCAAATGTCTCTGACAACAAATACTACAATCAGAAACAGAACTGTTATTTTTTGACATATTTTACAACACCTTGTCTTCTCCATTTTCATGTTGTTCTTGTTGTCGATGAGGATGTTTTTATTGTAAGCGAAAAGTATAAAAAAAACGAAGAAAAGCTAAATGAAAATTGAAAAAAGAACTCAGATAAAGAAACGGACAGGCGAGCAAACGTGCAGAGCAAAATGAGCGGGTGATTGAGAATGCTTTTTTTGGAGGTAGCACATACGTACATACATATTGTGTTGTAGTGGGTGGTCGAGTATAAGTTTGAAGAAGAGAGAGAGTGGGACTGCTTGGTTGGTGTTAGTAGATGAAGAAAGCAACGATTTATGCCTTTTCATTCATATTCTCTGCCATAACACATTATAAATACATACATACATACATGCTAACACACAAACATTTTTACTCACTCACTCGCTAACTAACTAATACACCATTAAATACTCACTTAAATACATACAACACAATTCTATATCCGCACATTCATACATACCTACATAATTCTTCTACTTCCTTGTTTACTATAAATAAATGTATGTGTATTAGGGTGATTTTTATGTTTTTGGAGAATTATAGATGGGATTATGATGACAATGAATAGAATGCGAATAGCTACTAGTTTCATCATCTTCTTAATTGTGGTAACTCTTGTCAAATTATATAAAATACCGATGCGTCTTGTATGTATGTACTTCAAACCTACAGTGACTCGTGATTGGGATATCAAAGCATCCAGCTGTATTTGATGTGTTGCCTTTACCACCATAAAAGTAAACTCACAGGGCCATATGTTTTGGACAAGACTAAAGTATATGTTTAAGGTGCGAAGAAGCGACAAAGAATATTCCAATATGGATCGATCCTTTGCAAGCTTATCGATAATATAGTAGACAAGCCTGTACTGTCTATTTGACATTAGATGTCAGTGACAAATGATCACTATTTGTAAAGGACATTGAGGAATCTTATCATTTCATGGAATAAATTACTTGTGTAAAAGTGAACTGTCCATAGACGGTTACACAAACATCTGACATATCCGAACGATAGGGAAGAAAGCCATAACTGTCATTTCTTCGAGTGATAAGTTCTGTAGCAGTCCAACAGGGTATAGTCGGTAAAGTAAGAGTTATAATACGCTTGTTATTAAGGAGAGTACCATAAGATTACTTATAATTATAGAACGATTGGTATTACAATTCTCTTTAATTCTCATGTTAGACCCAAAGACTATAGGAGTGATGTTATCTAGTAAATTGAGTTCTTTCAACCTAATCATATCTAGTTAGGTTATCTGTTTTGCGCTCCTTTTCATGGAAAATGTTGGTTGGTAAACATATAAACCTTATATAGTGATCAATAACTGTATTATCGTCGGTTTTCTAGAGGATATTGTTAAGAATCAGTATTCGTAAGGGATATTACATCCGGAATAATCCCAAACACTCTCAATTTACCTGACAATAGCAAAGAAAGTTCATCAAAATTTCTACATGATCTACATTCGTCTGAATCCGCACATCTATTTTTGTATAGTAGTGCCCGTAATCCTGTATGTCCACTCAGAATATGTAATTTCGCTCTTTCGTTGCCGACTCCTCCCAAATGGGTTGGTATTCATATAATGCAAATCGTATATTTGTAAGAGTATTCGGTTAAAGCTTTCTTAGATTTAATCTTATTACCTGATATCGCCCTAATTGCCTTCTGGGAGTCAGTAAATAAGTTAACCCCTGTTGGCGTCAAATTTATTCTAATCCAATTTACACATTCGTTATTGTTTGGACTTCTGCATGGAAGTTAGTGTTGTGATAAGTTAGACTGTAGTATATTTCTGTTTCTGGGTCTTCATTGTAGAACCCCAGCCCGTTTTGTCCCCTAGTTTAGAGCCATTCATGTAGCAACGGATTTTTAGGAGTTTTTGCTATAATGTTCCGGCTGACTAAGATATTCTATCTGGGATCAGTGTTTCAAAGCCATATTCTGTATTTTGGAATGCAATCGAGCACATCCGATGTTTTTGTATTGCCTGTGTCCAGTATACATTGATGACGTGTCCTATAAGCTCCTTTGGTTAGTTCGCCTAAAGTTAAGAGCCGTTCCACTGTAAGTGACGCCTCATATCATACATACATTTCAATGGGTTAAATAACTAGCAAGTCCTCCAGATTGTTAAAGCATAAGTTAGAATTGGTCTAATCACGCTTTTATAAACTTTTATAAGTATGACTAAGGGCCCACTTCGTGCCTACTACAGCGCCTATCACCTATATGTCTTGTTATCTATGTGGTGTCTCCATTTTAAATGTCGGTCAAGGAATACACCTAAGTACTTAACTTTGTCGGTTACCGGTATCTTCTTGACCAGGAAATACGGTTTCAATATACTTAGCAATCTTTGTCTTCCCAATGAAAATGCAGATTTAAATCTTCACCGTGTTAACCGATCGATCACCTTGGAAGTATTAGGACATCGTCTGCATAGCAGACAGGTCTAGATCCTTAGAAGGGTATTAATCGTGCTTAACCAGAGTAAAGGCGACAAAATAAAGCTTATCCTTCTGTTTCTTAGCATGTAGTTGAGCTGGTCCAAGGTTTGGATATGTGTTTCCGTGTACACGTTATTGAAGGTGCCTTCGATGTCAATGCATACCGTCAGTGTACACAGTTTGCTATCAAAGAATTCACCTATATAGTGGACAACTTCATTCAATGTGGTTTCCACCGATGGTGTCTTTACATAAGCATACTGCTTATATTTGAGTCTATTGACTATCCGTTACAAGGCTTTAAGTAGGAAGGACGTAAGGTTAATTGGACTTTGGCGTCGCATTCTGCCATTTAACTGTTGTATATACGAATTTCAAAGTCTTTGCCTTTGAACCTATGGTACACAATACATCAGGTGGGAAGTGAGAATCCATTAAGTGTTCCATTATCTCCTCTTATCTCCTGTCCATATAATCGATTACAGATTGCGATTGGACATGAGTTTTAGATAGAAATTGTGTTTATCTTCGATACGTCATTTACGCTATCTACCTGTTCACAGAAAAGTTTCCAGGAGTATTGTTTGGCTTTTCGAACGATTTTTACCAAATTTAAAATAGTATACTGTGGTCTTTTAATCATATCTAAGTATCACTATATTCCTCTATCGAACTCCTCAAATTTTTCGATATTGAAAAAAAAAAAACATACCAAAAAATGCCACCCTAATGTACAAACATACATGCATATGTATGTATGAATGTTTTTTTTTTAAATGTAAGCATGTGTATGACAGTCAATGCGACTTGGTGGCCTGGCTGGCTGGTTAGTAGGCTTGACTGTCTGCCAAACCGTCTATTGGACTAGTTGTCCAATTTGTTTTACTCTCTGCTGTGAGTACGAGTATGAACAACAATGCCAGCTACATACATATGTACATAAATGTAGTACGATGTGAAATGTTGTGTATTTGTACTTTCTTCCCCGTTTTTTTCTTCTTTTTGGCTCTTCGTCGGTAAGAACAAGAGAATATGTATGCTTAAGTATGCTAGTGTGTGTGTTTGTGTGTGCGTGCTTTAGATGTTATTCTTTTGTATGTGTGTTTGTATATATAAATGAATATTTTTTGTAGCAGATTTTTAGGAGCGACAATAAAATATATCACTTTTCTATTTTTAAAATTACTGCCGCACTCACACATTCATAAAATGCTGTACACACAACAACAAATTGCACATTTAGAACATAATTTACTTTTTTCTTATTTAAATTATGAAGGTTTTGTTTTTTTTGAAAAATATTATTTTTTCAAATTATTTTAATTTCAACTTTCACTTTTATCTCGTTTGTCGCAGTCACAATTTTTATAAATAATTTATAATTATTTTGTTATTGTTGTTATTGGTGTTATTTCCTCTTTCACTTACATTTAAATAATTTTAAATTAAATACAGCACGTACATATGTATGTAATTATTGTGTATATTTAAAGAGGTTAATTAAATATTCTTTAATTATATATAATCCTTTTTACAATTGTGTGGTTGTTGTTGTTTTATTATACCAAAAACTTTATTTTCAAAACGCTTAAAAAAACTATTTCGTTTTTTATATTTAACTATTCTTTTATAATTACGATTCGTTGCCGTGTCACTTGAACATTTTTTTTTTCATTTATTCCTTTGTTTTAATTGGTTTTTCTTTTGAATTTTTCATAAAATAAAAAAAAAAATATTTTATATTTTGCTACTGTGTATATTGTTGGTACATTCGTACGATGTATATTATACAATATTGAACTCCTACAAGCTTTTAGTTGTAGTAAAGAACGAGTACAAGGACTGAATATTTTTTCCTCTTCTTCTTTTTTCACTTTTTTCCAAAGACGTTTAAACGAAAAAATGGAATTTTCACTTAATTTCTCATAATTTTTTTTTTTTTATTTTACAAAAGGCTTATTTTTCATTTTTCACTAGACTTTAAAATATATACATGAGTATCTGTGTAAATATTTTTTGGTTTTAACTTTCTATGTTTTATTTTGAACACATTTTATTGCAAAATTTTTCATTTCATTTTTATTTTATTCATATTTTTTCATTATAATGTAGAAAAATCATTACTTTAATGAGCTAGCAACACTTTTTTTCCACAACAGCACCAGCAGCAGCAGCAGTAGTAGTAGTAATAGTTGTAGTATGTGGTAGTAGTAGCAAATATTTTTTACCGCAGCACACCAAATTCGTCAAACGACCACAACGCACGAACAGCAGCCACAATACTCATCAGGATGTCTATTGTACACTTATTTCTATTCCATCAATAATAAAGTATAGCGAAAAGGGTAAGCTTAATGCTCCACGAAGCTCAGCAATGTGTGTGCAGAGAGCAAGAGAGTTTTGTGGTGAAGAGTGTTTTTCCTGAAAACAATCCAAATAAAACCTGCGCCTGATTACATAAATTCTCTTTTTGTTTTAATTTTAAAAAATACCAAGAGACTAATTCACCAAAGTTTTTGTTTGTTTATCTATATTAACATGTGAGAGTTATTAGGAATTCCTCTACTTATGTATACTGGAGTATTTGTTACAGTCTGATCAATTACAGTTTCGGCATCGTTCGAACAAGTTCCTATATAAACAATTAAGGAAGTATAATATAGTAGGCTGTGTTAAGACATGTGTTAACATTCGGAAGGAATAGAGTCTTTGGAGTAATTTTCGGAAGGAATAGGGACTTTGGTCAAATATGAATAGATACAGGATCGTCTACCACCACTTAGTAGTAAAAAGTACCCTGCAGGTGGCAAACGAAATAATAATAACACTTTTCTTAATAACTCGAGTTATCTAGTCTCGAAATCCCACTAAAACGTTAACTGAAGAAACAATTACTGATAGTTAGCAATGCTGCAGCATACCACTTCTGAGCTTAATGTCCCACGGAGTTAACCTTACTACCGCAATCTGTTGAACTTCCGTTGAAGGACAGCCATAAACTCTACCGCCAACTCATCGAACGATCCCACACCTCTGTGGTGGAAACTGTGGCTCCGAAATATTCGGTAGCCCATTAGTTCATTAGCCATCATTGTTTTCTTGTGATCTAGGTTATAACTTCTAAAAAGTATATCACTTCTTCCCGAGCGTTACAATGTTTCCGCGGCAAATGATTTAAAGTTTCGAATTTACATTAAATTAAATTTAATATTGTTTAATACAATATCAGAAATTTTAGATATAAACAAGTGTATTTGTTTGGCCCACGATATTTATACGGCGAAAAAGCAATAATAGGGCAACTTTAGTACACAAACATTTAGATTATACTATAGAAAATTCATGGAAATTTGTTTATGAGTGGGTTTAGAAAATCGAGAAAACGGTTTTCGTTATGAGAACACTACTGGCTACAACGTAGTATAATGGTATAAACTTGGCTATAACCCTAATATACATATTTGCATATATGTATTTTACATTAGGGTTTTACCAAAATTAGGCCCAGTAGTGTTTTGATAAAGAAAACAACTTATTTTCAGAAAGACCGAAAGACACAAGAGACCGTAAAACCCAATATCAATTCGTAATTTTCAGAATTACATACTTACTAAATATGAAAAACTTATTCGAGACTTGCAAATGAATCTTAACAAATTCAATCAATGTTCTTTTTCTTTATAGTTGCAGTTTTGATCTTTAAATATTTTTTTCTTTTTTAAATACATGCATACAATAAGCGTTTGTTTGTATGTAAGTACATATGTTCACAATATTTTTATATATTGCAGTCAAACGATTCTCAAGGGATGTAGATATTCATCCATGACATGCAGACAGTGATGCTTATACGTGATGTATTATATATTCTATATAAATATGCAGATGTCTAAATAAAAGTGCTTTCAATAAGCGCAAGTTAAATGGTAAATAAATCTTACATTAGTCGTGGATCAAGCTTTTGGTGCAAAAGATTAGAATTTACTTACATTATTGTTTTTAGCAGAGACCAAAGTATTGTTTTTAAATAATTGACTATCTGGACACTTTTTCAAGATATCTATATATATAAAATCCTAAAGTTACTGACTGACTGATTCATTATCGCACAACCTAAACGGTTGAAGCTAAAGAGCTGAAATTTGGACAGGAGGTTGGTCTCCCACCAAATAGATCTACTAAGACGGGATTTTTGAAAAGCTTGTCGTCGTTCATTTAAAAAATAAGCGGACAGGTGTTTGGCACTTTTTTCAAAATCGGCCCCTATAGGAAACAAACGGGTAAAAACTGTATTTTGGTACTTTTTTTGCACCCCATGTATTTTTTAAACCAGTGAAAATTCAAAAAATATTTTTGACTTCAGTATTTTTAGGATATTCGGTCGTTTAAGGGGTGAAAATTGTACCTATTTTTGATACTTTTTTCATAAAACATTGTTTCCTATGTACTGATTTGTATTCTCCCCATTGCAATATTGCAACTTTTTGTAATAAAATTTTTATTACTTCAATGGGGAGAAAAATGTACCAAAAGGGAAAAAACGGGAAATTTAATTTTACTCAATTTTGATAAAATTGGAGAAATTGATAGATTTAGTAACACTAAATATACCGGAATTCCGGTACAAAGGACTATTTTTTTGTACTTTTTTGTTTTTAACAGGTACTTTTATCCTAGAAACATAATATTAAGCATGTGGAACCTGGAGTTAATGAAAATCTATAAAAGGGGAGTTTTTGGTACTTTTTCGGTAATTTTTGAATTTTCTATAATATTGAACCTAAGAACATGAAGTTAAGCATGTAATGCCCCAAGTAAGTGAGAACCAAAAAAAGGGGACCTTTTGGTACTTTTTCCTTCTCCAAAAGGTACTTTTTGAGAATTTTTTTTGGAGAATTTTCTATAATATTGAACATAGAAACATGAAATTAAGAACGAAGAGCCCAGAGAAAACGAGAATCTATAATATGGGATTTTTGGTACTTTTTTGTTCTTCAAAAGGTACTTTTTGAGTTGAGAAACATGAAATTAAGCATGTAGAGACCGGAGTAAATGAGAACCTATAAAGGGGAAATTTTTGGTACTTTTTCGTTCTTCAATAGGTGCTTTTTTGAATTTTCTATAACATTGAACCTAGCGACATAAAATTAGGCATTTAGTTCCCTGAGTAAATAAGAACTTATAAAAGAGAACCCTTTGGTACTTTTCGTTCATCAACTGGTACAATTGTCAATTATACTAAACACAGAAACTCAAAACTAAGCATTCAGGGACTTATGTGAATGAAAATCCAAAATGGAGTGTTTTCTGGTACTTTTTCTGTATGTATGAGAGGAACTTCTGGTTGAAAATTTGACATGCACCATCCTTATTCTACTAAAATCTAAAAAGTGACTTTTTGTTACATTTTCGTTCTCCAACTGATATTTTTGGAGTTTCCTGTAACATTGGAACTATAATCAATCATTATTGATTGAAAATCTATGAAATATTGAACCTAGAAACCTGTATAAAAATCTATAAAAGGAGACTTTTTGATATTGCAGATATACATATGTATATGTATATTAGACTGACTGAAAATTACCAATAAAATTTATTTTATTTCATTACGATGAGGGTAGCGAAGCACACTGGGTATAGCTAGTAGTGTCATAAAGTTAAAAAAAAAGTTGTTGGCCAAATTTGAGACGTTATAATGTCGCGATGACACCTTTTTTTTATAAGATCTGCCATCTGAAAACTCAATCTGCCGACTTGTAAATAAATGTAAACCTTTATTTTAAAGTGTCTAAATCTGGAACAACGGTAAATTGTCAAAAACTGCATTTTTTTTTTTCTTCATTTCGCCTCTGTTTTATAACAAGATTTTATATCAACATTTGTTATAATTTTCCCATAAAAATACTTTTATTTCAAAATCTCTTGTATTTGCTGATATATCGTCCATTATTTATTTGCTTTAAAATAAATACAATATAAATGTTTTTTTCTAATTTTTTTGTCCAGTGTAAATAATAAATTTAATATTTTAATGGTGTAAAACATCTTTCACAAAAGAGATAATAAAATACAGAATCGTAAATAGGATGAGGTCACTTAAACAATTCAAAAACTTCAAATTTAACTTAAAAAGTAATTCTGAGCCGATTAGGAAACATTAAATTGGGTGTAGGACCAATATTTCTATGTGTTATATTAGTGTAGAGTATAAATAAATAAATATATAGATAAATATGTATTACTCTCAATAAAAATTTCATACCTGACAATGAATTGAGACCGATTTGATAAGAACTTCATTTACTACACATGTTTATACTCATTCGGACTACATGCAATTATCGCGTTAAATAAAAGTTCTCATAATCACAATTTTTCATTCACTTGCATTAAAAAAACTGGATTCTCAAACAAAATCAGTACAATCGAATTTAGTTCATTAATACATTTTGAGTACAACGGACGCCATTTAATCGAATAAGAAAGAAAAATAAATAAACAAAACTATTTAAAAATACAATTTATACAATTTATACAATTTCTTATAAAACCATGGGAAAGTAATAAATATTTATTGATTATTTTTTAATGTTGCAAATAATTGAGGAGTTTTTAATATTATTATTCTTTTAGAATATTGAATGAAATAAAATATTTTCTGAAGACATTGGTGTGTTTTTTAGCGGCTTGTCTTTTAGTGCCCATAATTTTATTAACTTTCATCTGTAAGTAATTAAATGAAAAATGAAATAATAAGTTTTTATAATAATTTGAACAGATTTCTAAAATTTGATGAAAGTTTTAATTCTCACTAAAGTGATAATAAATCGGAGAGTCTATTGCTATATTTTATACATTTAAAATGCAACACAAACAAATATTTGATCCCTGATAATGCATCACCATCGGTTGGCATTTTTCAGTTTAATTTGTAAAAAAAAAAGATCAGTGAATCCAATAGATAATCTTAAATCAATAAAGGGTCTTTGTTATGCGAAAATGCATTTCTCGTATTAAATTTAACTACTAGTGGAACACTTAGGTGATACAAAGGCTGATAAGTTTTATTATTTTAAAATTAAAAGAAAAAATTGCATTTTTAATATCAAAGTTCATAATGTATACACTCAAGACACACGAAGCCAATTTGATTAATATTTTCTGATTTAAAAAAATAATCATAAATAAATAAATACAAAAGAAATTTACCTTTTTGTATTGTCGACGATGAGCAATTATGAAAAATAGATTTGATCTTTGATCGCTTGTTAGTCATAAGTATTTTTTGTATTTTTGATAAGACTTTAAAAATATACGCCGACTTTATTTAAATTTACTTTTGTAGACAATATAACTTGTCTACTAAATGGTTTAAAGCAATGTTCTTTAGAAATTCTTAATAAAATTCTAGGGGATCATGGAAGAGATTTCGATGAAATT